TATGTAAACGTTTCTCTCCCACAAAATCTGGATTTGTTCGTATCTAATCAGGTAAGATTTCTGCTTTATGGTGTTGGTAAAATCTGCGGGTCAAGTCTTCCATGGTTTTGCGCAGTTTATTGCAAGAATTGTGACATGAAATTTGAAAACTGAAAGGATGGGCTTTACCAAGAATTCTAATATGTCTATTGTTTATTGGTCATATTACTTGAAAAATTATAGTAGCTAAACTTAACCTTTATTTTATTAGATTCATTTAAAAATAAATGACATTTACTATGAAATTTAAACTTTTAACCTTCAATGCATTTGAATCTAGTTTGCTCCAACATTTGATATAGACATAAGTAACACTAAACTTTTTTAGATTTTGGCATAGAAGAAAAAATTGTAATTTCAAAATTTAGTCTAATTTATAAAATTTAAAAAACAGTAATTAACGTATAGGGCTGTGGTACTGTTGTCGTTATTGTGCTATCTAATCAATATTTATTTTGGGTTCCTTTCTTTCTGGTTCATATTAATTTGCTCATATCGCCTTCAATTTTGAATCTTGTTTGATGAATCAACTTCTTATCTCGTGACATAGTTAAGTTGATATCGAGTAAGTAGGCTAGTAACACTTGATGTATAAACCTGAATATTAAACACCTTACCCTTCATCTTTTCTCCTTTTCAAATAATATATCAAAATTTATTATTAACTTTCAAATTGAATTACGAGATTTGTACTGCATACAAAAGATTGACTTATATCAACTCGAGAGATCTATGGTCGATGATTCTATAAAAGTTCTTTTTTTTTTTTTTTCCATTCCAGGTTATGTTAAGTCATTATTGCATAATTAAAATAATAATATTCTTAAATTTTGAAAGATAACTGAAAATGGATTAATAATTGAAATGATGGTTATAAAAGTAAGTTAGATTATGTTGACTTCAATAAACGCTAAATTAGTATCAAAAGAATGGTTTAAGGCTTTGTTGCATAGGGTTCGGGCCAACGCAAACAATCTATTGATCAATACGATAATCTTGATTGATGATCATTAAATGGAATAGGGATAAAGTAATTTTTGAAACTAATCAGTTAAATACCTATTTTTAAAATTTTGGGTAAAATGTGGATAACAAAAACAATAGAATAATGTAGATCTTTATTTAACCAAATTGAACAAATTACATTTTCTTAAATTCCGTCTACTTACCGCCCTTTGTTTCTTCTCTCTTTTACATCATTAGGTCTTTTTGTAGTAGATTTGAAGAATTAATCAAGGGGTGATTGGCAAATTCATTTGTATTTGACATTGCCCTCTCATGCTAGAGTAAGTTTGAAAATTTTTCATCCCATACCGTCTGACCTCGAGTATTGAAAAACGTTACTTAACTTGTTTTAAATTCCGAGTCCAATTTTCTTTTTTAATAAAAATAGCTTTGTTTTTCAAAACTTTTTAATTATTTTTCTAATTAAGTAGTACAAAAACAAGATTGACGTCTCTTTTCGGTGTCATTTACGATTAAGGTGATTCGCATATAATTCTAAACTCCTAATCCTTTGGCAAGAATAGTTTCCACCAATAATTATTTTGTGTTTGGGTTCGATAAGTACCAAAAAAGAGATTGAAATGCCTTGATTATGCAATAAGTTTTCAGATTTCATTATTATTGTTTTGTTAAAAATTCGAATTTAGGTCATATTTTCCTAACGTCCTCACAATTGAAAAACCAATAGAACTTATGATTTTTTGATCTTTCCAAAAGGCAAGTCTTTCAAAGACAACTTATCCATCTTTATTAACCTAATCTATTGTTTGAAGTTAACTTTCGCGGGTAGGAACCACATGGTATTATTATCAATTTAAGATACACTAGATATAGAGAATTTCATTTTTATCAATTGATCTAATTAGGTATCAGATACGCTTACCAATTAATTACGTAAACCAAAAACCTTAGATTCAGTCAATTTATTTTCTCGTAAATTGAGTTTCAAATAGAAAAAAAAGTATGGAGTAAGAGATTCAAAATTATCAGACACTGAATTTCTACTAGATAGTTACGTAATCACTGCAAATTAACTAATTAATATGTAACTAGGACTATTTATTATTATATACTTATTATGTCAATTTGAACAATCGAATATGTAAAATTCACAATAAATTCACAATAAATTTAACATAGAAGTGAGAAAAAAAGGGGAATTTTTGAAAGAAAAAAAAAATTTTTGTTGAGACTATTGTTTTTTTTTATAACCACCAATTGAATTGAAAATTTTCCAAATATTGTTCTTTCACAATTAGGCTTGGTTTGTTGCTTTAATTATTGTTGTTCCTCCTATCTTTTTGCGGATTAGGAGTTTCTCGAATAAATGATTAAAACGCCGTAGGCTTCAAAAAAATATATGCTCATGTTCGATTTGTTTCATTTGAAAATTTGAATAGAAAGATCAACATTAGTAAGATCATCTAAGATCCAATATTAGCTCATTTTTTTGAAAATATTATTTTGCTGATAGACAACTAGTAGTAACAAGATTCAAACCAAGAAAATAACTTGTAGTTGACATTTCAATCAATTTATAATAATAATGGGTCTTTTAAATCTCTTATGCTCCTTTGACTTTGAAAGAATTAAATAATAATAATATTCCATATATTTTCTTGACAACTTGTTCAAAGTATTTGAGTCTATTTAGCCTTAAAAAAATATTACTGAAGATTGGAATGGAGTTGTCTACCCTTTATTAAATAAGAAAACTTATATCAAATTCAACCGATTGAACTTGAATTCTTGGTGAATTAACTTAATCGATGAAGTTCAAGTGAGGCTCATCGGCAATCGATGGATAGCTACATCAAAATCTATTCTCGTCAAACCTTTTGTATCAAATCTTGCCATTTAGTTCCATGGCTTTTGGATCTCGCTTGATTAATTCTTTTTGGTTGTTGATTTTTTCTCTATTCCCCCAAATGTCTAAATCATAAAGTACTAACCCAGTTATGAATTTTTCTTTTAAAATGTGATTAGGTTACATTTTATTATTTGAATATGAACGGGCTTTGAATTAATAAAAAAATTGGAGGAACAATAGGATTTTTACTTTAAAAAAAAAAAGATTTAATTTTGACATCTAGTCTAGATTGTTACTTACGGTTTTTAAAAATTTTGACACATTTTTCCATAATCTTAGTATTAGAGTAGTTGATATTTCATCATCATACATCATGTCTCTGTTTTACAATAAAGTTACGAACTTTGATGTTGTTTTTCTCTTGAATTAGCGACTTTCACTGATCTTATCCTATTAAGTTACAAACGCTGACTAAACTAATTTGAGAACTCACGAGTTTACTAAAAAATTTGTAATGGGTATTAATAAAGCTTTAAATAATATCTCCACGTCAATCATTAACCCAACATCATAATCCTAGCCTTTCACTCAACTCAAATACACTTTGACCTTTCAGACAGATTTTGTAGTATATGCTAGATTAAGTGATATCTTCTTCGGTTAAATTTAAACCACTCAAAAAAGAAAACCCAAATCAAATGCAACAAAAACAAAAATCTTGAAATCTACCTTGATCAAAAAAAAAATCGTACAATTTTTTTCAATTTATAGGAATGAAGTACCCGTAATGGATTGATTTTTCTTAGCGCAAGGAATTACCACTAAGAGCTAGCTAATAATAATACTATGATTTATTTCAAAGTTTGAAGTAATTTAAAGTGAGTTGATGTATTTTCTAAACAATTTAGATCTTAGTCATTGCTACCCACTAATAATAAATTATTTTAATTAAGGGTAGAATTGTTAATAACGGTTTTTTGTCTGTTATTTTTGTCAGGATTAATTTAATAAGAAAACTGAAAAATCTCGTAAGCTTGATTATAATTTTTATACCAAGAAGATATTGATGAATTATTCCTAAATAATCATAGTACTTTTGAAATTAATGGTTTAATTTCATCTAACCATTTAAATCCTGACAGGCTAAATACGTGTCGTGAATGTACATTATTTTTTGGTCGTTTTGTAATCATACTTCTACTACATTACTAACTGTCTATCAAAATTGAAATTGAAATTGATTGAATGTATCGTTACATATTGAATTTGTAATAATCAATCAAACAATAAGTAGATAAGTTACACATATTTTACCTAAGCCTAAATTTCTATGTAAATTGCAACAGGGTTGTCATGTCAATTTGGCATATCTACGTCTGTATTGCATTCTTTGTTAAAACTATATGATTGTTCGTAGTTTATTGAATAAAGTGACTTCTATTGTTTTAATAACTTTTTTTTGCTCTCTTATTGTTAAGTTTTAAATTCCGCTTTTGAAACCATAAGTCAATTCTTCCTCCTATTACAAAAGTTCCTAATCCTTATGTCAAGAAGTTAGAAAGATATATATCCCTTCAAAGCCTCTTTTTGACAATACAACTACAACTCTAGACTAAAATTTGTTCAATTTTTCCGTAAGAACTAAACAGAATAGTAGCGTCAAATAAAACTAAAAATAAAGTTAAACTAAAACTTACCGAACTAAAAACCTTTTACTTACGAATAAACTTTAGAGACTAGCCCAGATTTATCTTGTAAACACCGTTAAAACCGAAAGTATAATGTAAAATCAAAGACTCAATGTGTAAATCAAGCAATAGAAAGAAAGATAGAAAAACAATACACGCTACAAGAAGCCAATTACAATCTTAAATTTCTATCCTTAAAAAATATCATTTCATTCATTAAATCAATATAAAACATAAAAACTAAAAACTAAAACCTAATATACAAAAATGAAAACAACACAAGTAATATAAATTGAAGTGAAAAAATAGTTATAATAAATAAGATAAGTAAGTAAAGTAAAGTAAAATTTTTTTTTGTAAGCCATAAGTATAATAAATTTAAGGAATTGAAAAAACACATATTCTCATCATGGTGTTGTTGATAATGAATCTTATTCTTTGATTGTAGTTCTAGTAAATCAAATCAAATTCATTCTTTTTTGTTCTTTTAAACTTTTAATTTTTCTTCTTCTTGCATTAATAAACCAATTACTTAATTGTTGTTGATTTAATCCAGTAGTTAACATTAATTGATTTTTTTCAAAACTGTTAGGATAAGGATGATTTAAATGATCATTTAACCATCTTAATAAAATATATGTAATTTCTTTTGGTAAATTATTTCTTGTTTTTCTATTTCTTGTTTGATCTATTATTTTTAATGGTTGTTGAGGGAGATGGTGTTGGTTGTAGTTATTATTATTTAATCTTTCTGGATATGAATTTGATCTTATCATTGATGGTTGTTGGATTTGATTTGTAAAATGAGGTGGTGGTGGTGGTGGGGAATATTGAGATGTATATTGATGAAGATGTTGCTGTATTGGTGGTTGATATTGTTGTTGTTGAGGTTGTGGTGGTGGTACTGAGTTATATTGTGGAATTTGTTGAGTATAATAAGGTATTTGAGTAGATGGTGATGAAATATTTGGTGATACTAATGAAGAAGGTGATGATGATGAATTGTTCGTGGTAGTAGTTGTAGTATAACTATTTGAATTTGGTGATCTATTACCTGGAGCATTAAATGTAAAATAAGATTGTTGAGAATTTGAAGAAATTGATGAAGGTGTTGAACTATTTGATTGTATTGATGATTGATATGATGATTGTTGTGGTAAATGAGATACAGAAGGTAATTGATCTTGTGTTGTTTGTTGTTGTTGAGCTAATATATCACTAATTGGTGGTAAACTTATCTTTTTTAAAGGTTCAACTATTGATTGTTCTTGTTTTGGTTGTGAATATGATTGTGATTGTGATTGTGATTGTTTTGAATATATTGAAGTATAAGTAGGTAAATTTAAGGTATTTTGTTGTATTTTTGAAGTTGTTGGAATTGAAGGTAATGATGACCTTGTTGGATTGATTAATTCAGTTAATTGCATTGTGTTTGTTTGTATATATTTGAAGTTTAAGTTGTATATGTATATGTGTAATAATGTAACTTTTAATTGAAATCTATGTTTCAGATTTTACCTATATCTATGATTTAATCTTTTTCAGTTGAATTAGTTGTAATGGTATATATCTGTTGATTGATGAAAAGTAAAAGTGATGAAATGTTACTTCAAAAAGTTAAAGAAAAAAGTAGGTAAATGATATAAATATATATACAATGTATCTTTACAATTGGGAATTTGAAGTGGAATTTTTCGTATATTTATATAAGTAAAATCTTATTTAAGTAAGTTTTGATTGATATAATACATTAAACTTTGTGTAATATAATATTTTATTTTATTTTATATTTTTTCTTATTTGAAAAAATAATAAAAATAAAAAATTGTCTGATTTCTTTCTTAACTATGTATGGGTAACATGTTAATTATAGATTATTTATTATTATTATCTAAATCTATAGTTTTAGTAATCGTAGTATCTGTAGATTAAGTTAAACCAAAGATACTTAACTAGTTTAAATTTTAACCCTTATTACATCTTACTTACTAATTGACTAAAACAAAACTTTTTATTTAAATCGCCTTAGTTCGTTGATCTTTTTTTTTTATCTAATTTTTTGTGTCGGAAACAACAATTTTTTGTCTTTTGTCTTTTTTAAGTCAAACCCCGAATAATAAACAATTGTTGACTGTATTGTCATATTTTAATGTCAGATTTAGATTACGTAAACAGAAAAAAACTAAATCTTTAAACTTTAAGTTATTGTGCAGATACGTTAAATAAAATTAAAATCTAAAAGTTTCTTTTCAACAAATTGAACAACAATAAGTTAATAAAAAAGAAACAGTAAACTAGTAACTCAATATATGAAAAACTAATTACATCATTTAAATTACATTAATCGAGTAATCAATTCCGAATAACAAAACATTGTTATCACATTTACGTTTCAAACATGAGAGAATGATCAAATTTGAAAACCATTCGTCATATTACTTTAATCGATTAAAAAGTAATAAAGGCGTATTATAATTAATTAGTTGATTGAGTAATCATGTCAAAAACGATCAAAACGAAAAAGAGGCAATAAATTCCCTTTTTTTCTTTATCTCCTAATCTTTCTATATCTGGGGTTTCAAGTTCATTTAACTTCAAAAGGAGGAGAATTTACATGGAGGAGAAGCAAAAAATCAGAAATCGAATCATTATAGGTTATCTTTAATACTATTCTGTTATCTTATCATAATTGAAGTAACTTACAATCGTTTATGTAGTGTATGTATTCATGAAATCATTTTTAGAATTTGAAAAAAAAAAAACAAAATTAAAACTGGCAAAATCTAAATGATTATATTACATGAACAATAAAATTAAGCTGTATTATCAATCAAGTGAGATTTTGAGAAAAACAGCCCAACTTTAAATGTTTTTGTTACCGTATTACGTATCTCTCTTTGAATATATGGTTAAAATACAAAAAATATTTAAATGATAATAAACAAAGTTTAGATTAGAATAGCTTGCTTATAATTATGGATTGAATCTCGTTATTTCTATTTTATATGCCTGAACAGGGAGAGGAGTAAAGAAGCTATGTTTCAATTACTCTATGTTGTTCCTTTTACAGGTCTATCTCTAGCAAAAATACATAAAATTTGGATAATACTTACATTTTCTTGATTTTGGAATATTTTTTACTTATCGAGGATGATGATAAACAAAAGTAGGAAGACCCCTTGAAATCTGAGACCATTATTAATATCAATCTTGATTGATAACACGTAAATCTATTGAATAGATCTGGTTTAATTTATGATTTATTATTTAGATTAGAATATAGACTATGAAATTTAAACTTACGGAAACTAACTTTTTTAAACTTTAATTTAATTTTAACATTACTTCCTTAAAAACGTTTATTAAATCTAAATTGACATAGAACAAATTATGGAATATAAAAACAAAAAGGAAAGATCTACGTATATACTTTTAATCTTGAAAGTTTGTTTGTGACATTGCCTTGAAAGTTTTTAGCTTAGTGGTAAACCAAATCGTATGTGCATATATTCATATTTGTGAAATAATCTAACAATTCATTTAGTGTCTGATAACTCTACTTACTACATTTACTGTTAGTATGCAGGATTTATGTTATCATTCTGTTGAGATTATTATATGGAAATGATTAAGTTTTTAACAACTCTTTTTGCAATTAATATCAAATTTTTTGTGATTTTTCAATCATTTGTTCATTATTCTTTTATTCTATAAAGGTACTTATGACATTCCATTATGAAATACACACATATGACATTCCATTATGAAGTACACTTGGGAAAAACTTACCGAAAACAGAAATCGTATAATAAATTTCAAGTAAGTTGAAGTGTGGAAAGAGAATGAGTAAAAAAAAAAATAAGAGGGGAATTTACTTTTTGGTGATGTTGTACTAAACTATACCCACTGAAATTTTACATTTAGAAGATATCTTTTTCAAATGTTGAAAATAGATCTAAACAAGAGATTAAAAAAGTTAGCTAACTTTCAGGATAAATGTTTTTCACCTCAATATTGATAGTTCAAAACTGATATTATTATATTTCCAAGAACTTGAATAAAATTGGATATTGTTTTTTATAATATTAGAATCCTTCTTTTTTATTTTTTAATGGCTCATTCAATCCACTTAAATTGTACAAATACAAGCAAATGTCAAAACATCATCAAGTCATTTATATCATTTAATATTTAGATTAGTTTGACTGTTTTAGCTTATACCACCCTTGGATTATACTTCCTTTTGAAATTTTCAAGTGTATTTGGTTCACATAGATCTATTTTAAACTTCGAGATTTTGTGTAAGATATCGTTTTTTTTTAATTTTTTATTTTTTTGCAATCAAATTTTTTTTAAATTGTTGATTGTTTTATATTGTTTGATGTTTTTCTTGGTACCTTTTTTTATTTTAACATATTTGTTTGGTTGACAACTAGTACTAATCTCTGATTGGATAGATTAAGACAGTCACACACAATTATTTACTGAAACGAAGTAGTTGAAACGATGTGATGCTTTCATTAAACATGATTCTCATTATTCAATTGTTTCCGATACTTGTTTGCTTATCTTCCCTTTCAAATTTCGTTGATGAACCCATATCGAATAAGAAAATAAAATATTAAATAATAATTGAAAATTCTTAATTTGAACCTATCAATTTAATTTGATTAGATTCATCTTATTAAGCCAAGATATTGACATCTTAAATCTAAATCTCGTTTACCTTAGATCTGATATCTGAATGAAACAAGAAAACAAAAAAAAAAAAAAATTGGCATTAATTTAATTTGAAAGATATTAAGTGACCCTTTCAGTTTTCCCTGTTAGAACTGGAAAGCTAAGAAGTTAATACTCGTGAATTACTATAGTGATAGGTCTCATCTTAGTACATGTCGACAAAGCATATAAAATTTAGTTCATAGCTTTACTGAATTATAAAATACATTGGCTATGCTATGGATTTTTAAAATCAAGATCTAAGAACTAAATTTTAAACTTTGAAATAGTAAGTAATTAATCCATTCATCGTAACTTTAGGTATAGTTTTGCAAGTTAAGATTCAATGTAACAAGGATATTGAAAAAGTACACAAAGAACGTTCATGAAAATATCAAAATCTTTTGACAAAGAACAATAATCATTAATGGAGATCTTGGTCGAGCAACATAAAGTGAAAACAACATTATTAATTCTGTGAATAATGATATTAACTGAAGAAATATATAAGATCCTTTTTTTGTGGTTTTGAAGCTGTCCGATATGTGCAGAAATATTAATAGATATTAGATACTGGGTTTACTCCCTTTTTGCATCAAAATTAAAACAAAAGATCCTTATTAAATTTAAACTTTTTAAATTACTCTATTTGATAAATTGATAATATTTCAATAGATTGACAGAAATATACGTTTGATTTCGTTATAAGAAATCTTTGAAAAGGTTTTGAAAAGCTTACTTTATCAATTCATATTGATGAAACTTCCTTTATACTTTTTAAACTTTACAGTTACGATCAATTATGAAGACTAATTTTGATGTATTATTTTATTTGAATTTTCTTGATGAAATTATGAGTTTGTTTAAACTGCTTTTTTAACTATTGTTCTTGAATCTTCAACATGAAAAAACGTTAATCTTTTTCAATTCTTCTATTGAACAATTAGAAATTTGTGGAGATAATCTAGGTTTTATTTTATTTATAATTTTCTGAACGAACATATTATTTGAAATTTAAAAAACAATCGTATGATTTCATGTCACTTATTAGATTGCATAGATGGATGAAATTTTAAACTCATTAATAGATTATATAGGATAAAATATAAAGTTTAATTGTCAACATGAAATTTTCGATTCCTTCTACTTCTTTTTATGTTATATCAATCATTTTTATACTTCTATCATTATACAATTTGAAATTTGTTCAAAAAACGTTTTGACATTAAAATACAAAAACAGACACAAAAAAGATAACAATAATACAAAAATTTTGATTCAGCCGTATTGTTCATAGTTTCATAAAACAAATTTCAATTTCATAACTAGGTCATGCTTTTTTTCGAAAATTAAGTAGATTGAAATCAGTCGGAATGTAGAACTTGGTAAAGGTAGACCGTTAATGTTACATTTAAAGTTCTTTTGCAAATTTACACGTTGTAGCTTATTAAAGAGCCAATAACTGTTTTAATCAAAATTTTTATTGTAAATTAGTGTTTGTGCTAACCAGAAACTTTCTATGCATTATATTGATCTTTTAAATTTTGATTAATCTCGTCTTTACAACTATTTATATTCATATCAAATCAGTTATTAGTAATTTGTTTTCGAATGACAGGGCAAAGAAGGAAAGTATCGTTAGTTTGTCTCATAATCTTAAAGGAATTAAAAATAATGAATGGGGCTTTATTTAAAAGATTTCCGAGGATATTTTTATAAGCTAAAATTATTAGACACATTAAATAACAAAGTAAATTTTTAATCGTGTTTTCACGGAACTTAACACACTGATCTATTTTCAAAGATTAACTTTGACGAATGGATCGATGCGTCGACATATCAATCTCTATTAGCATTTTGTCTAACATTTTCAATTCTTTTTTTAAGACGATTTGAAACTTGCCGAAACCAGTCCAATCTAAGTGTAAAGTCATCTTACCATTGAAGCCATAACAATTAAACAAAATGCTGGAAGAAAGAGATGATGGAATAAATTGTGTATGAAATGGCTCTCATCATCATCTTTTCTCCATCCTTTCCATAACCATTGAAGATCTTATAAATAGACACAGAGCTTTAATTGAATCTGATGAATGTCAATTAAATTTTTGACATATTTTTAATCTTCCGCGCTTATAATTTTTGACAGTTAATTTAAAGTACAATAGACAATAAGGTAATACAAGAAGTAATACAATAACGACAATAAGGTAATACAAGAAGTAATACAATAACAATAAACTTAGGGTTAGAATTAATCTAATTTAAAATATTTTTCATAGAGTCAAAACTTTAATTTTATATAGAATCATTACTAATATATCAACACTAAAATATATTCAAATCAAATTAATATTAAATCTAGACGGTAGTTGATTTGTTAAAAGTTGGCTTTTATATAATGTTATAAAATCTTATATTAAATCATTAAAGGAAACTTATTTTAATCAACTTATAATATCATACATCCAAATTATCACTACATAGAAAAGTAGATTCACAAACAAACAAAACAAATCTAACCAAACTCCAAAATGGTTTTTAAATTCTCAGTAGATGATTTATTTGATAATCATCTACCTCCAAGTCAATTATATAAATTTCCTCGTGTTTTATCATTTTTTTTAGGATATCATAAACCACCTCATAAACCAGCAAATGATTATTGGATATGGTTAGAAATTTTAATTGGATCATTTTGTGGATTATCTTTAATTATGGGTATATTTAAAAGTCCAAATATTTTTTCAGAATATCATCATGCTCCAATAATATTAGCAAGTTATGGTGCATCTGCCATATTATGTTTTAATGCTTCTCAAGTTCCTTTAGCTCAACCAAGAAATGTATTAGTAGGGCATTTTTTAAGTGCTTGTATTGGAATGGGTATACAAAAATTATTTTATTTAAGTGAAGGAGGTAGAGATCATATGTGGGCAAGTGCTGCAATTAGTGTTTCAATAAGTTCTGTTATAATGTCTATATGTAATTGTATTCATCCTCCTGCAGGTGCAAGTGCAATTTTACCAAGTATTGATGAACAAGTTAGATTAATGAGTTGGTGGTATTTACCAGTACAATTAATAAGTTCATCATTAATTATAACTGTTGCTTGTATTACTGGAAATATAGTTAGAAGTTATCCTGTTTATTGGTGGAGTGCTGGAGCTGGATTAGAACAAAAAAAACAAAGAATGGCTAAATTAACTGCAAGTGATGAAGAAACTAAAATTGATTCAAATGAAGAAATTGATAAAAGTGGGAAAGAAAAAGAAGAAGTTGATAATTCAAGTAATTCTGATGATATGTTATATCATCCAGAAACAAATAATTTAATACCTGTAAGAACAAATGAAACAGGTATAAATAGATATAAAAATGAAAATAAAATAATAATTACAAGTACTTCAATATCTGTACCTGAAAATTTAGATTTAGAAGAAGTTGAAAGAGATTTTTTATTATCAATACAACTGAAATTATTTGATTTAAATCTGGAAACTTTAAGTAGAACACATACGCGGAAGAGTAGTCACTAAAATTTCAACAAAAGGTCAAACAAAAATTCTTTTAGAATATAGTTATTATTAATTTAATATATACACATCACGTTTATTTTGGTTCTTTTTCTATAAATTCAACAGGTACAACTCCTGAAAATCCAGGATCTTCTAATTTATCATAAAGTGCTTCAGCAACTTGAGTAGTACTAACAACAGGTCTAACTAAATTTGATAAAAAATTTTGACCTAATAAAGAATTCTTTAGGTCTACTCCAATTTTTAAAGATTTTAAAATAACATCTCTCTTGGTTGTACCTAAATTATGAGTTTCATCATACATTGCACCAGGTCTCATTAAAATACTTCTCAAATATAATTTTTTTGATAATTCAAATTCTGCTTCTCTTTTTGTTTTTATATATCTTTCTGGAATTATAGGTGGTGCTTTATCAGCTGAAATATATACATAATTTCCAATTGGTTCATCTTCTGCATTTGATCTTGGAATTGTATCTTTTCTTGCTTGAATATATTCTTCAGCTATAGATAATGCAGAATCTCTTTGAACAGCTTCATAACTCATATTTTTTTTATCTTTTTGCATTGGATTTGATCCCATTATTGAATTTATAAATCTTGTAATATCTCCAAAATTTGACAAAGAAGAAGCACTGTTTGCTGCTTTTTTATAAGATATATCTTCAAATAACATTCCTATAGAATGAACAATTGTATTAAATTGACCTAATTGTGATTTTATTTCTTGTGGTTGAAAAATATCAACTTTTGACCAATTAACCTTTGATACCCAATCAGGTTGGTTTTGATTTGAATTTTGATCTTGATTAGGTAGAATTGCTTGTGGTGGTTTACCTGATCTTGAATATGATGTTACTTCATAACCTCTTTTTATACCAATTTCACATATTTTTCTACCTAGGAATCCATTTCCTCCAAATACTGCTATTGTTTTGGATGTAGTAGACATTTCTTGTGTCTTTATTTAATCAATTGGGTATTTTATGAGGAAGAAATGTTTGTTGGATGAGTTTTAGTAGCTATATGTATTTAAATAAGAATGAAATGTGATCTAAATAAGCTCTTTTTGTGTCTTGAAATATATATCGATAAGATCAATTTTAAAAGCAAGCAATTTAAAAAAAAGAAGTTTAAAGAAAGAACACCTGAATTCCACTAATTCATCAAATCTAACTCCAATAATTCCTCAAACAACATTTCAAAATCAAATTTGAATAGATATGGATGAATATACAGCCTTGATACGAGAAGGAAGAGACTGTTAATGCTGATTCAAATAATCTTTCAAGATCATGATCAAGATGAAGAAAATTAAGGATGCAAAAATAAGTAATGATTTGGGGGTACAAATTCCGACTAATGCTATAAATGAATGTTTAGCTCAGTTGAATCCTGTTGACAATTGTCTGCTTTAAAAAAATAATTCGTTAATACCATTCTTACCTGTAACCTGAAATGGGTTTAAAAGTGTGATGACTTCTACCAAACATCGTGAGGTTAAAAAAATTGTTTGGAATTAGTTGTCTTAACTTTAAAGCCATTTGAAGTTACAGCTAACCAATATAGATTTGGCCCAATGGTCTCGGAAAGTCTTTGAGCAATTGGATTGATATCCATGATATAGATCCTATATATACAAAAGATAATTGTGAAAGTTCATTAATAATAACGTTGAATGTGTCATAATGAACCTAAACAACTAATCACGATACTTAATTCATCGGTTGAACCAACGACTGGACCCTCATGGTCTTTACAAGCTCAACACAATTATGAAGTCACATCTGCTGACGCTGGCGTTAACTGATATTCATGTTGATATTTTGAGTTATATAATACCAGCAACTGTCCAAGTTTAAAAACAAATGTGGAATAAGCTTCTTAAAAGCATATCTAGCTGAGTTAACTGCAAGGTGCATATACGAATTTGCTTGACATCAAAAGTCACCGTGGTGGGGCTTGTCAAGTGAATTACTTAACAATTTCTGCAAATTTATATTCCAAGGTCAAGTTTTGGTGAGAACCAGCTAATCAGCAACTGAATTCCCGTGTCCTTGTAAATACTCCAATTTAGTATAGCCATAAATACTAAAATGGAATATTTACAAGGACACTAAACTTCAGTTGCAGATACCATGTATGCATTTCATAAGGAACAAGATTTTGTTCAGACGAAGATTAATAACTTGATATATATACCTTGGCTAAAATGATTCAATTCACAAATTTTACCATTTCAAAGCAAGCGAGAGGGTCATCCTTGAAATAGCTAAACTGTTGAAGAATGTGGTGTTTTTTTGAGTATGTGTTTTGAGTTTGTGTTTTGTGTATGTGTTGTTGATTTCTAAAAATCAATTCATTTTACTCAAAATATCGAGTGAATTATTCAATGAAATTGAAAATACAAATACTCTTACTTTGTTTGGTGGAACAAGTGGATCAATTGAATTTTATTCCCATGTTATTTAAGAGAAACAAAATGATGGACCTATTTTTGTTCATGTAAGAAATTAGATCCAATGGTTGAGAATTAGCGTTATGCTTGAGTGACGGTGTTTTTTCACATTTCATAGAAAAGGTAAAAATGTTTAATTGGATATACTCCAATCTCAGATACTTGTACGAGATTTAGTCAAGGGTCCTACTAGATTAAAGATTGATTTTTTATATAATCAGGGGTTTCAATTTCAAAGTGCAAAATAGGATGTAGTCAAGGGTCCTACTAGATTAAAGATTGATTTTTTATATAATCAGGGGTTTCAATTTCAAAGTGCAAAATAGGATGTAGTCAAGGGTCCTACTAGATTAAAGATTGATTTTTTATATAATCAGGGGTTTCAATTTCAAAGTGCAAAATAGGATGTAGTCAAGGGTCCTACTAGATTAAAGATTGATTTTTTATATAATCAGGGGTTTCAATTTCAAAGTGCAAAATAGGATGTAGTCAAGGGTCCTACTAGATTAAAGATTGATTTTTTATATAATCAGGGGTTTCAATTTCAAAGTGCATCTATTTTGCAACCTGTTTGATTTTAGTAGGACTACTCAACTATAATATTAATTCATCTTGTCTAACTTTCGTAGACTAAGCCTAAAGTTGTAGAATGTCATGTAGTAATTGATCTTGTTAGTGTGTAAACAGAATCTAGTTTTGTGACATATTTCGATTAAATGGTTCTATACTTCGAAACCATGTTTCAGAATTTAAAAGTAGTTAGTACAATGATTCATTTAAGCTTTTAAATGCTGGAACTTGGAATGCTCTAACAGTTCTATATTATCTTTTAATTAAACATAACGTCTCAAATGTATTTGGATCTGTATTGTTAAGACGGTTAGTGTTTTATCGATACAATTCTATTTCTATAAATGGTTAAAAATATTTGCTCATATTTCTATAGACTGATTTTGTTTACCGAATAAAATTTTAATAACCTAAGAAGTGTTTATTATCAGATATACAACCAAACAACCATGATATAACAACTAGTCACTAATAAATAAACATATTCAAACCAAACTTATGATACAATCAAATAGAAAATTTTTTTAAGAAATGATATTAATCAATGATATAAAATATGCATGTATGGAATGTATAAGAGGTCATAGATCTTCTTCATGTAAACATCATGATAGACCTTTATTACAAGTTAGATCAAAAGGAAGACCTGGTGGTTATGCAAATGGAAATCCAAATCATAGAATAGCAGTATTTGCAGAAGAAATAGCTGGAAAAGAAGATAGTGACTCAATTTCTTCTACAACTTTATCAAAATCTGCATCTTCAAGTACTATTGATACAGTTGATACAACTAGTATAAATTCTACAGAACAAAATCAAACTCAACTTAAAAAGGGATGTAAACAAGCACCAATCTTAATATTAAAAGCATCAGATAAACAAGTTATAGATTTAAGTAATGGAGAAATAATTGGACCTTATGATGAAAGTAAAACAAGTAGAGATAAAACAGAAAAACCACAAGCTTTACCACCAATTATAAATGATGAAAGTTTTATAACTTCATCTGGATGTTGTATACCAAAAGTAAGCAAAAGAAATAATACAAATAATAATGGATGTAAATGTTGTGGGAATAAAAAGAATGGTGATCAGAATAAGATAAATAAATCTAAAATTTTACAAAATTATATAGCCAAAAAGATTAATGATCAAGAACTTTCAAAGACACCATTGAAACAAGTTAAATTTATTTCGGAAAATCCACAACTTGATAATCAAACGAATGGAAAACAAGCTCAACAAGCACTTCCAAGAGCTCCACTAAATGAACCTGTATTTGACGTTGTTCCCGTATCTTCTTGTTCAATCCCTGGAACTTGTTGTTGTGACGATAATTGTAAATGTATTGGATGTGTCGTACATGGAAATATCAAGAACGAACCAACTATTCAACCAAATGATCCTCCTTCAGAACAAGAATCAAAAATCATTATAAATCAATTTACAAAATCCGATGACTTAATATTTAACACAATACAACCAATAAAGGAAAATACATATTCATTTCATAAAAATTTTCAAAATCTACCTCCAACTCAAGATCAAATACAACCAGATTCAAGTAAATCACCAACTCCAATTTGTTCATGTCCACCAGATTCTTGTGATTGTATAAATTGTGAAACTCATGGAATTTTAAATGGATTTAAATTAGATGAATATTTTAAAAATCAAACAAACCAACAAATCTTGTATAATGCTTTAATATCTGATTTTGATCTTGATGAATCTTTTGCTACAAATACTCAACAACAATTTTTACCAATACAAGGGAGTTCTAGCAACCAGATATCACAACAACATTTCCCAATTGAAACAAATGGTGGTTTGAATAATCAATTCGAGTATCAACCACAACAACACAAATCTAACCAATATACTTTTAATGACGTCAATGACTTCAACAACATAACTCCTGTATTATCAAGCCAGCAGCTTAGAAAAGAAAATAATTTTAATGACAAACCCGTAATATCAACTTCTTCTTGTTGTTCTAAAAAATAAATAATGATATATGTAAATAGAATTAATATAAAATGAATTATATAATGATAGTATGATATCGGAGTATATTCTGCAACACGTGACTGATTTATTTTTTGTGCATTTGTTTTTGGTGAAAAAAAATTAGTAGAATCACAATTATTCACTTCACTTAGACCAAAACATTGGTACACCTTCAGCCAGTGAATCAACAAATCTTAACAAATCCTTTCTCATTCTGGTAGTCATGGAGGAACCAGTAAATGATATTTCATTTTATACCGGTAAAGAAGGTGCCGATAATGTACCTCAAGTATTAGATTTTCAAGTTGAAGAAGGTAATATTGTTTCTTTAAATATTCCAAATGATGTACCAGAAAATCCTGAAGAAATTGCAACTTTTTTTCAAGAAAGAAATATTGGAAAATATGAATGGTTTCTTATAGCAAATGCATATGTAGCAAGAGGAGAAATAGAAAAAGCAATGGAATTTATAAGATCTGCTTTTAATTCACAACATTTTAATGAAGAAGATAAAAAAACTTTTAAATCATTTTTAATTTGGTTACATTTAAAATTAATTGCCCTTGGGGTAGATAAAAATACAAATATTACTCAAGCAAGTATTGAATTACATGAATTAACTTCAAAAATTCAAAATGATTCTCAAACATCAGTTGTAAATAATACAAGTAATTTATTATCTCAAGCTATATTATCAAATTATCATGGAGGAGAAGATGATGCATTAGAAATATTTGAAAGAATTTTAAGAAGAGATCAAAATAATACTTTTGCATTATTAGGTAAAGCACAAATTACATTAAGTAAAAGTAAAAATTTTTCATTAGCATTAAAATTATATCAACAAGTATTAATATTAAATCCTATAATGAAACCTGATCCAAGATTAGGTATTGGATTATGTTTTTGGTTTTTAAAAGATGATAAAATGGCAATTCAAGCATGGGAAAGATCATTAGAATTAGATCCAAATAATAATAAAGCAAAAATATTTTTAAATTTAGCTAAATTTCATTTAACTTTTAATAATTCATTAAGTGATGAAGAATTTTTAAACAACTATAAAGAATGTATAAAAGAAATTGGAAAACTACATAAAGATAATATTAATGATTCAACTATTTTATTAACTTTAGTTTCATTTTATTTTTCAAAACAAAATTATGATACAGTTGAAAAAATTATAAAATTAATTGTAAATAATATAACAGGAGATGATAATCTTGAAAAAATTGGGTCTCATATCAAAACAACAAAATATGAATCAAATATTTTATCTGAATGTAGAACTTGGATTGCAAGAATTTCATTCAACAAGGGAGATTTTACACAAGCTTCAAAAAATTTTCAAGAAGCTATTAAATTAAATGAATCAAATATTGTTGCCAAATTAGGATTAGGTCAATCACAATATAATCGTGGATCAGTTGATGAAGCTTCATTAACTTTTGAATCAATTTTAAGAAGTAATAAAAATTGTTTAGAAGTAAATTATTCTTTGGGAGTATTATATTCAACTCAAGATTCAAAAAGGAAAAAAGATATGGCAATACAAGTTTTGGAGAGGTATATTAGATTATCTAATAATAGAGGATTATCATCATCAAAAGAAGATGCAGAATTTTTATTAAATAAAGAACCAATAACTTTAAATGCTTATTTAATTTTAAGTAAACTTTATGAAAATATAGATATTAATCAATCATTAAATTATTTAAATAAAGCTATAGAATCAAGAAAACAATTTGGTAAATCCATTCCATTAGAAGTATATAATAATATTGGTGTAATACAATTTACAAGACAAAATTTTGATAATGCTTTAGTAAATTTCCAATCAGCATTAGACCAGCTTGAAGATAAAGAATTTCAAAGTACTGATGGAGATATTTTACTTGATTTACCACAAGATTTAAGAACTACTTTAACATATAACTTAGCAAGATCAAAGGAAATTTCAAATCAAAATGAAGCTATAACGGCATATGAAACATTACTTTCTGAATGTCCACATTATTTTTCTGCAAAATTAAGAATTTTATTTTTAGCATGTATACTGAAATCATCATCATTAACTACAGAAGATATAAAAACTGAAATAGATGATTTATTAGATTTAAATGCATCAGATTTAGAAATTAGATCATTTTATGGTTGGTTTATAAAAAATTTTGGTAAAAAATTAGGTTTAAAATCTGATATAGATACAAATTTTCAAAAAAATACTTTAGTTGAATATGATAAACATGATTGTTATGCATTAATATCATTAGCTAATATATATTGTACTTTAGCAAGAGATTTAAAAGGTTCTTCTTCTTTGGATGAAAAAAAGAAAAATTATTATATTAGAGCTATTGAATTATACACTAAAGTATTAACTATTGATCCAAAAAATGTATATGCAGCTCAAGGTTTAGCTATAACTTATATTGAAAATAAAGAATCAAATAAAGGTTTAGATATATTAAGAAAAATAAGAGATTCATTAAATGATATATCTGTTTATTTAAATCTTGGTCATGTATTATGTGATGTTAAACAATATGGTAAAGCAATTGAGAATTATGAATTAGCTTTGGGAAGATATACTGATGGTAAAGATATTAAAATTTTAACATTTTTAGGTAGAGCTTGGTATTTAAGAGGAAGTAATGATCAAAATTTAGCATTTTTTAAAAGATCATTAGATTATACAAAACAAGCTCTTGAATTAACTAAAGGAAGTAAATCAACATTATTATTTAATATGGCTTATGTACAATTTCAAATTGCAGATTTTATAACAAAACAAAATATTCAACAAAGAAAACCACAAGAAATTCATGATGCAATACAAGGATTAAATGAAGCTATTGATATCTTAATGAAATTAGCATCAGATGAAGAAAAACATCCACCGTATCCAAAAGATGAATTAAGAGGAAGAGCAAATTTAGGTTCAAGTACTTTGTTAAATAGATTAACAAATGCATTAGATGAAACAAAAGAAAATATAGCAGAAGTTGAACAAAAATTACAAACTGCAAAAGAATTACGGGAAAAGGAAAAAGAAACAAAATTAAAAGAAGAACAAAATAAATTAAATGAATTAAAAGCAAAAGAAGCAGAATTAGCAAAACAAAGAGCTGCATTACAAGAACAAGCTCAACAATGGGCAGAAGAATCAAGACAACAAATAATAGTAAATGAAGAAGAAGAAAATGATGATAAATTATTTGATGAAGAAAATGAATTATCATCGAAGAAGAAAGGCAAAGGTGGTAAAAATAAATCTTCATCAAAAAAGAAGAAGAAAAAATCTAAGAAAATTGTTAGTGATTCAGAGTCTGAAGCTGAAATGTCTGATGAAGAAGAAAATTCAAAACCTAAAAATGGATCATCTAAGAAGAGAAAAACACCTGATTCTGCTAATACAGGTGATGATGAAGATGATGAAAATACAGTAAGACCAAATGGGAAGAAGAAGAAACCTATATCTAATGAATTCATACATGATAGTGATGAAGATTCAAGTGATGATGATTTATTTGGTGATGATAAAGAAGAAAAGAATAACGAGGGAGATGAATAGAAAACCATAGGTAAAAAAAATCAATTCTATATGTATTATTATTATAATTATTAACTATAAATTATTCTTTTAACCAATTTTTCATTAATTTATTACTTTCAATAGAATCTCTAAATAATTTTTTTTCAAATTCATCTAAATAATATAAGAATTCATTATTAAAATGTTTTTGATTTATATTATTTGAAAAATTATTAATTTTAAAACTTCTTTGTTTTAAACAATTCATTATAACTTCAATTAATTTTGGTTCATAAATTAAATTTAACCATTTTATAATCATTTCATAATATTGAGAAGATAATTTATTTAAATTTAATGATTCAGAATTTGATTTTATTGCATTTATAACTTTTTCATTTATAAATTCAGGATCATCTAAAGTTATAAAATTTAATTTTTCTTGATTATCATCATTAATTAGATTCTGATTTTTGTTGTTATCATCATCTATTTCTAATATTGCTAATATTTCTGCTAACCAAAATGGTAATTCTATTTTAGTTCCTTTTTTTATTGATTTTCCTGGATTTCCTTCTAAATAACCTAACCCGGGGATTGTATAGTTGAATTGACACGGTAGTTTTTCTGCGTCAGCTAGTATATCGTCTAAATCGTAATAACTCATTTATATTGTGTTTTCAATCACTTGGTTTGGTTGAATTGTCAATTATGTCTGTTCAAAGAAGTTTGTTTATGATACTTTTTTTTTTTTTTTTTTTTTTTTTAAAAATATTTTTTTTTTATTAAA